TAAACACCATCAAACATCCAGAATTGCCTATCCCAGGTCCTTGGTAAAGACTCGATAAGTAGACAAAAATGCCAAACCCAGTCTGAACATCTGGCTGACTGTGCGATAAATAACAACAACAGCAACAATAAGAATAAGCTTCTTGAATGAGAAGCGAAATGCCTTCAAAGAAAAACCAGAAAGTCCAGTTGCCTCTTGGAAAAAAAGCACCTTTGGGATCCTAATAAGGAAATAAATACTCTGCAATTGACATATACCAACCTTTCCTCCTGCAGTCCAGGGTTTTTACAGGAAACACATATGTGTGACAAAGTGAAGAGTCAAATTCAGGTCTGGCAATTTCGGGTTTGGGTATTACTGGGCGTAAGTCCACTTTGTCGCTGCCACAGAACTCTTCGACTTGTATCTCCTTGAGCTTTTGACCTTTCACTTCTTCTGGATGGACGCATTTGGCATAATTTGCCAAGTTCCTGTTTCTTGGAAGCTGCAGCATCGTTATAAGCGATTCCATCTGACAGTTGCAGTGCCAGGGGTTGTCGTACAAACGCAAGTAACTTACGAGAGGCATGTAAATGAACACCTCCTCCGACAAAACCTTGAGTTTATTGTGCTGTAGTAACAAGGTGGTCAGTTTGTTCAAACCCCAGAAAGCCTGATCCTCGATTTTGGAGATCTCGTTCTGTTGCAAATCGAGACTTTTAAGTTTTTGGAATTTGGAGAACATGTTGTTCTTCAGTTTACGGAATGCGTTTTGAGCTAGCAGCATGTGCTTTAAATCTTCCGGCCACTCGGGTAGGACAAATGTCAATTTTCTTTCTTGACAATCTAAGTATTTCTCAAACAGATATGTGTAGATGTCGCATGGAGGGTTTGGAGTAAAGCGCTTCATGAGGCCGGATACTTTTCCTAAGCGGTTTGTCCTTCCACTGTTTGCTTTCTTCCTTGAATTTCCATTTCGTGCTTTCCTCAGATCAGCTGCTTGACTGAAGAAAAGTAGTATTATAATAGTAACCACTTGCATCCTGACATCCAGCTGGCCCCAATTGCTTTATATGACAGCTGGAACAGTCCAAGAGTGTTCCTTTGAAATCCGACTTCCGAGATTCTGTGTGAAGGAGGCACAAGCTGGGGTATATGAAATTTCTCTGTTAAGGGGGAGGAAAAAAACAGAGTATTATAAAGGTGCTGAAGTGATGGTTGAAAGAAGAAATTGAAACCAAAGGTACAGCTATTATGTCCAGCATAATGGATGCAGGATCATTATTTTAAGGAGGAATTCTGGTCCCCATGATACAAACACAGATGTTTAGAAAGTGTGCAGAGAAGAGCAACGAAGATGATAAGGAGTCTGGAGGCTAAATCATTTGAGGGAATTATGGTATGTCTAGTCTAACAAAGAGAAGGACAAGGGTGATATGATGGCAGTCTTCCAGTATTTGAGGGGTTGTCGTAGAGAAGAGGGGATTGACTTAAAGCACCTGAGGGCCAGAGAAGAAGTAACAGGTAGAATTTCTGCTGATTAAAGAGAGATCCAACCTAGAATCAAGACCAGGGGTTGGGCTTCAAAATATTTAGCAATGGCTTCTCTGCCTGGTTGCTGGGTTGGCATGGCCATGGTGGGCGTGGCCTAATTGGCCTCCTGCACCATGGCGGGGGGGGGGGGGGTTTTTACTCTTCCTGGGTTCCGGAAGCTTTTCTTGAGCCTCCGGGAGGGCAAAAACGGCCTCCCTGGGCTCCAGAGGCTCTCTGGAAGCCGGAAACGGGCCCATTTCCAGCCTTCCTGAACTTCTGGGAAGCCTGTTTTTTGCCCTCCCTGAGCCTCCACGCACATCCTGTACTTACCTGCATTCAAAATGGGCCGCGTGGGAGAGGACTCCTGGGAGGGGCAGGCGGGACCAGCCACGAGTGAGATTGAGGGGGTTCTCCAAACTCCACAGAACCTTAGCTAGGGGCTCTCTCGAACCCCCCGCAGCCCACCCCTGACCAAGACAGAACAATTAATCAATGGAACATCTTGACTCCCTGAGTTGTGAGTTCTCCACTGCAGGAGGTTTTCAGGAAAAGATTGGACAACCATTTATCCAGGATGGAATAAGATCTCCTGCCTTGAGGGGGGGCGGGGTTGGACTAGAAGACCTCCAAGGTCCCTTCCAGCCCTTACAATTCTATGACTTCTTAGTTTAATGGCTCTACTTTATATTTCAAATTCTACTTATAAAAACGTGACTGTGGAAATGGCATGCCGAAATGTGTGTAGGCATTAGGAAATAAAACATGAGCTCATGTCACATACATTAATCATTCATTCATTTTTTTCCTGCAGTGAATCATGCTGGAGTGGGATCATATAAAACATTTCTAGAATTAAAACATTACATTATAACATATGTTTTCCATAGCTCCTGGCATCACATATTTGTTATCCCCAGTGCTCAGAGCTGAGATGGCAGCCAGCTGCAATACAATCGTGATTGGTTGATTTACCAAATTTACATGGCTGCTCAAATCATGACTATGGGTGCTGTGGAAGTTAAAAAATACATCCAATATAATAAAGGTAAAGAAGTGGTAATAAACCTCTGGTCAATTGCTGAGAATGTTATATATTATATAACTAACATTCTCTCAGAAGGCGTGTATTCCCCTAATCCAGATTAAAAGACAGCAGAGTCACGATTATTCAAACTTCTAAGGAAATATTATTCCAGAGACCAGCACTCATACTTCTTGTCCTGCCCCCTCAGGTGTTTGAAAATAGGTTGAAACCACCATCCCCTCTTCTTTGTGGCAGCCCCTCAAGTACTGGAAAACTATCACCCCAGAATTCTCCAACACTGGAAGTTTTTAAAAAGAGTTTGAGCAACCTGTCTGGTATAGGGTTTCCTGCATAAAATAGAATAGACTAGAATTCTTTATTGGCCAAGTGTGATTGGACACACAAGGAATTTGTCTTGGTGCAAATGCTCTCAGTGTACATAAAAGAAATACATTCATCAAGAGTCAAGAATCATCAGGTAACAACACTTAATAATAGTCATAGGGTACAATAAGCAATCAAATCATACTAGGAAACAGTCAATATAAATCGTTAGGATACAAGCGACAAAGTTTCAGTCATACAGTCACAAGTGGGAGGGGATGGGTGCTAAGGAGTGATGAGAAGATTAATAGAAACAGTAATGCAGACTTTGTAAATAGTTGGACAGTGTTGAGGGAATTATTTGTTTAGCAGAGTGATGGCATTGGGGGAAAAACTCCTTGTGTCTAGTTGTTCTGGTGTGCAGTGCTCTATAGGGTCGATTTGAGGGTAGGAGTTGAAACAGTTTATGTCCAGGATGTGAGGGGTCTGTAGATATTTTCACAGCCCTCTTTTTGACTCGTGCAGTATGCAGGTCCTCCATGGAAGGCAGGTTGGTAGCCATTGTTTTTTCTGCAGTCCTAATTACCCTCTGAAGTCTGTCTGTCCTGTTGGGTTACAGAACCAAACCAGACCATTAGAGGTGCAGATGACAGACTCCATCATTCCTCTGTAGAACTGGATCAGCAGCTCCTTGAGCAGTTTGAGCTTCCTGAGTTGGTGCAAAAAGAACATTCTTTGTTGTGCTTTTTTGATGACATTTTTGATGTTAGGTGTCCATTTTAGGTCATGTGATATAGTAAAACCTAGAAATTTGAAGGTCTCTACTGTTGATAAGGGTTGGACTAGACCTCCAAAGTCCCTTCCAACTCTGTTAGTCTATTCCATTCCATTCTATTCTATTCCACTCACTCTCAGTGCAAGCTACTTAACAGATTATCATTATAAACAGGCAAGGGCGTTGTGTATGCCATCTTGAACTCCATAATGACAGGTAACATCTAAATTTGATGAAATGGACACATAAGGAAATAAATATTCCAAGTGATTCTTTAGGCAATGTTAATTATCTCACTCTTGCCTGCCTTCCTTCCCCTATGTCTGATAGGACACTAAGGAAAATGTTTAGTTCTTATTTGATTTAGGGTGGTTTGTAATCTCAGCCGATAACAGTTTATTTTAACAAATCATGATAAACAATTAGTGTGCTTGTGATTTTTCTCAATGGAGTCAGGATCTAAGGAATAAACTCATTTTGGTTTCAATACTGATAGTCCCCGAATTGAGCTCCAGATTTGTTGGCAGTGTTGTTAAATGAGTTTTGCCCCATTTTACGACCTTTCTTGCCACATTTGTTAAGTGGATCCCTTCTAAGTTGAAGGTATATTATCCAGTGGTGGTATTAATATTTTTTTTACTATTGGTTCTATGGGTGTGGCTTGGTGGGCCTGGCAGGGGAAGGATACTGCAAAATCCCCATTCCCTCCCCACCCCACTAACCTGCTTTCCAGCTCCGTTCTCCTGTGCAGGGCAACCAAAGGAGACCCAGCCAATCAGCCCGGGACTCGGGAGGCAGGGAATAGATGGGGGCGGGGCCAGTCAGAGGTGGTATTTGCTGGTTCTCTGAACTATGCAAAATTTCCGCTACCGGTTCTCCAGAACTGGTCGGAACCTGCTGAATACCACCTCTGGACCAGTCCCTGGTGACCCAAAGGTTAAAGGTATTCCTGATTTAAAAGATAGATTTAATTCTTTCCCCCCCCCTGCTTAAAGTAAATCTTCTCACTTTCTTGGAGGAATCTGTTGTGTTTCTTCTTTCCAATTGATTTAATTAAGTGAAAACATATGCAAATTCACTCATGGGATTGTAAATGCATAGCAAAGGGTTTCACTGCTCTTTGTCTAAGCCAAACTAAATCTGGATCCAATTTATGGTAAGTACCCTTAAATAACTAACACTAAATAACTTCTACTGTTGACGCCTAAAATAGATCATCCTTTAAATAATGTAATAGAAACCTTTCTCGGGTCACATTTGATTGCTCATACTTTTCAGGAACGAAAATTTATATTTTTATGTCTCTGCTCGCATTGCCAGTTGGAGATTGGTTTCATGGAACAGAATCAATTGTTCTGCTTTTAGGTGGGTGTGTGAATTTGCAAGAGTTAAATGTTTCCAAATATCAAGGATTAAATGTAAGTATTACCTTTACAAAAGTAAAAGGAAGTTAGAAACGTTAAAGCGGAAAACTGAAGTTCTAATTTTGATTTCTGCATATATTGTAGAATGTTGAGGTCTGCAGAAAACATCCTATGACTGTGATGGCGAACCTATAGCACGTGAGCCCTAGCCAAACTTACCTGCACTGCGCATGCGTACCTCCCAGCTGATTTTTGGCCCGTTTGAGCCCGTTTTCACTCTCCCGGGGGCTCGAGGGAAGCCTCTGCACCCTTTGGAGGTCGAAAAACAGACCTTCTGGGAATACTGGAAGTGCTGAAAACGGAAGTGCCGAAAACCGGAAGTGTTAAAACAGGCCTGTTTTTTGGCCTCCAATGGCCACAGAGGCTTCCCTCGAGGCCCCGGGAGGGCAAAAACAGCCTCAAATGGGCTGAAAATCAGCTGGGAGGCACGCGCATGTGCAGTGCAGGTAAGGAGGCGGGGGGGTTACGTGTGCATGCGCAGGGGGGTGGGGCGCATTGCATTGTGCATGCTGGCACCTGTGTGCTTTTGGCACACCACCGTCCTATGACATATGCTTTGGGTATTAAAAATGACCCTATACACTAATCAAGAGAACTTAGATACAATAGATAGACAGAACAGATAGAATATAGGTACAATCATTTTTATACATAAACAGGTAGTCCTTGACTTACAGCCACAAACTGAGCCCGACATTTCTGTTGCTAAGTGAAACATTTGATATAATAACTGACTCTATACACTAATTAAGAGAACTGAGCTACAATAGATAGCTAGAACTTAGGAACAATCGTTTTTATAAATGTTCCAGGTAGCCCTCGACTTACGAAGCAAAACATTTGTTAAGTGAATGTTGCCCCATTGTACGACTTTTCTTGCCACAGTTGTTAAGTGAATCACTGCAGCTGTTAAATTAGTAACCTGGTTGTTAAGTAAATCTGACTTCTCCATTGCCTTTGCTTGTCAGAAAGTGTAAAAAGGGGGATCGTGTGACTCCCAGAGGACACTGCAACCGTCATAAATACGAGTCAGTTGCCAAGCATTCCAATTTTGATCCTGTGACTGTGGTGGGGATGCTGCAATGGTCGTAAGTGTGAAAAACAGTCATAAGTCACTTTTTTTTCACTGCGGATATAACTTCAAATTCGTCCCTATGGAAGAATGGGAGCTGCCTGGCTTGCATTTATATGAACAAAAGAAAATGAATTGTTTGGGAGCATAACAACAAACTGATTAAAGTGTCCCAGTTGAAGATGAAATAAAGGTTCCCATTTTACAAACAGATCTGCAAATCCTGGCTTTACGGCAGCCTGGGATGGCCTCGGATCTTTAATGATCAAATCTATAGATCTCAAGCGTCAAATTTCACTCTTCTGGTCTCTTAAACACTTCACAGTGTTTGTGTCACCCAATAAGCTTAACTGGATAATATAAAACCAAGAGTTAAACCTATGTAGCCTATTGTTATGCATGATTTTTGTACCGGGTTAATTCTCCAGAAAAAGTTATTATTCTAGGAAAAGGTATGACAAAATATAAGAGGACCAACAATTTTTTGTTGCAGTTAAAATACACGTAATCCTCAACTTACAACCATTCATTTAGTGACTCTTTGGAGTTGCAACAGCACTGAAACAAGTGACACAACTATTTTTCACACACATTTTTCACATAAGGAAGAGAAGGTTCTAGAAAGTCTTCCAATATACTGATGTGTGCATAGGGCCTACAAAATTCAAAAGGTTTTGGAGTGTGTGTGTGTTTCTGTATGTGTGTTTTATGTCTGTTTTATTACCTGAAAGTTCCACTTTAATTTTCTTAGTTGGAATGTGCTATACAGGAGTTCATCCTCAACTTAACAATAGTTCATTAAGTGACCACTTGAAGTTACAACGGCACTGAAAAAAGTGACATGACCATTTTTCACACTTTATGACTGTTGCAGCATCCCCATGGTCACATGATCAAAATTCAGACGCTTGGCAACTGGTCCATATTTATGACGGTCGCAGCGTCCCAGGGGTCACGTGGTCCACTTTTGCGACCTTCTGACAAGCAAAGTCCGAAGGGGAGTCGGATCCACTTAACGACCGGGTGACTAACTTAACAACTGCAGTGATTCGCTTAACCACTGAGGCAAGAGAGGTCGTACAATGGGGCAAAACTCACTGAACAACTGCCTGGCTTAGCAGCAGAAATGTTGGGCCTCAATTTTGTGGTTGTTAAGTTTAGAACTACCTGTAGATTCCTTGGGGCAATTAATTCGAAATGTAGTAGTGGTCTCTTAATATATTTCTAACTATTAAAGCAGGGGTGTCAAACACAAAACTTGCAGGCCGGATTTGGCCTGCGATGTGGTCAGATCTGGCCAGAGGTAGGATTCTACCGGTTCAGACCGGTTCTATAGAACCAGTTGTTATGATTTTGCGCAGTTCAGAGAACTGGCAAATCATGCCCCTGGCTGGCCCCGCCCCTCTCCGCCCACCCCTCCCCTCCCCACCCAGTCAGTCCTTATCGCGCATGCGCAACATCGCTGACTGCGTTCTCCCCCGCCCAGTCACTCCTTAAGGTATTTCTTTCCCCCCTCCCGACGATCAGCTGTTCCGATGATCAGCTGTTCCGATGATCAGCTGTGCTGTCTTACTGCTTCACCCAGGAGGCTTCCCTGAGGCCCAGGAGGCAAAAAGGGGTGCAGGGACAGGGGCGGCGGTGTGTGTGTGCTGCGCTCTGTTTTTTGCCTTCCTGGGCCCCAGGGAAGCCTGGGAGCAAAAATTCCCCCCCAGGAAGCTTCCCTGAAGCTTAGGAGGCAAAAAAACGAGGGGGGGGGGATTGCTGCAAAAAAAGAAGAAGAAGAAGCCACGCCCACCCACTCCCCTAGCCACACCCACTTAGCCACATCCACAGAACCGGTGGTTAAAAAATTTGAATCCCACCTCTGGATCTGGCCTGCGGGGCTGTCCTGGAAAATGTAAGGGGTCGGCCCGCATTGCTTCGGCACAGTCTACCCAATGGGAAGAGGAAACATGCCAGCAGTTTGGGGAGTGGAGTCCAACTGGCCACACCCACCCAGTTGACCACGCCCACCCAGTCAACCACGCCCCCCTGAAGTCAACTACAGCCCTGATACGGCCCTCAATGAAATTGAGTTTTGACACCCCTGTATTAAAGCCTTGGATCCTTTGAATGACTGTTGATATGGACTGTGATTATATTCCCCCTTGGAGAAGTAAAACCAAATCTGGCTTTTTCTTTTTGAACAGGATAAATCAATTAGATTTGTGGCAGAAGGTTGTTCAGCTCTTCTTCACTTGGATTTATCTCACACGGACATTTCAAATGGAACCCTAGCGCTGCTGCCTAGGTAATATCTAGAGATAGACACTACGTGTTTCTGTAGAAGAGCAGCGGGCTTCATGGACGGTATCTCACATAAAGGCCATAGAGAAGGCCTCCTAATGCCATCTTTGTTCAGTCATCTGTCTCAGCTCCATGTCTGTTTCTTTGAACCTTAGCACATGGCAACCTCATTTGCCTCCAGAAGTTGAGGGTGCAAGGAAAGAAGCAATTAAGGAATGGAACAGAGTAGAATCGAATCGAATAGAATAGAATAGAATAGAATAGAATAGAATAGAATAGAATAGAATAGAATAGAATAGAATAGAATAGAATAGAACAGAACAGAACAGAACAGAACAGAATAGAATAGAATAAGAATAAGAATAAGAATTAAAATTAGAATAGAATAAGAATAGAATAAGAATTAGAATAGAATAAGAATTAGAATAGAATAGAATAGAATAGAATAGAATAGAATAGAATAGAATAGAATAGAATGATGGAATTGAATGGAGAATAGAATAGAATAGAAACAGAATAGAATAGAAATGGAATGGAATAGAATAAGAATAGAATAGCATAGAATAAAATGGAATGGAATAGAACAGAACAGAATAGAACAGAATAGAATAGAAAATATGGAATGGAATGGAATAGAATAGAATAAGAATAGCATAGCCTAGAATAGAATAGCATAAAATAGAATAGAATGAGGAAATTAAAATGGAAAAGAATAGAATGGAATAGAATAGAATAAGAATAGCCTAGCCTAGAATAGAATAGCATAAAATAGAATAAAGGAAATTTGAATGGCATGGAACAGAACAGAACAGAACCTTGGAGGTCTTCTAGTCCAGACCCCTACTCAAGCAACAGAGTGTATACCATTTCAGATAGTTGTCCAATCTCTTCTTAAAATCCTCCAGTGATGGAGCATCCACAACTTCTGAAGATAAGCTGTTCCACTGGCTAATTGTCCCCACTCTTAGGAAGTTTCTCCTTAATTCCAGGTTGCTTTTCTCCTTGATTAGTTTCCATCCATTGTTTCTTGTCCTACCCTCAGGTCCTTTGGGAAATAAATTGACCCCCTCAAATACTGGAATACTGCTATCTTGTTTCCCCCCCACAGTCCTTCTTTTCTCTAGACTAGCCAAACCCAAGTCCCTCAACCATTCTTGATATGCTGTAGTCTCCAGGCCTTTCATCACCGTAGTTGCTCTTCTTTGCACATTGTTGAGTCTCAGCATTAAGTCTCAACATCTTTTTTGTTGTGTGGTGACCCAAACTGGATGCAGTATTCCAGGTGTGGTCTTACTAAGGCTTTATAAAGTGGTAACTAATGCTTCATGTGATTTTGATTCTGTCCCTCTGTTTATACATCCAAGGATTGTATTAGCTTTTTGGGCGGCTGCTGCACACTGCTTTATGTTTAAGTGGAGAAATTTGCTGGCAGAAGAATTAATCATTGGAATAACTTGCCACCAGAAGTTGTGGGTACTCCACCACTGAAGGTTTTTAAGAAGAGATTCAACAACTATTTGTCTGAAATAGCAAACTGTCTCCTGCCTGGGTTGGACTAGAAGACCTCCAAGGTCCCTTCCAACTCTGTTATTCTGTTATTCAGTGCTCCATCTTCTGTCTTCTCTACCTTATAATATAAATTCAATTCCTGCCTTTGAGCGTCTAGTACAGGGGTGTCAAACTGGATTTCTTTGAGGGTGAGATTAGCATTGTAGTTTTCCACAGGGACGTGGGGGGCAGATGACTCCTGCAGCACCCTGTCAGCCAAAACGGGGCACGGGGCCTCCATGTGTGGCCCCCCTCTGCCTCATTTTCACCCTCCATGGCCTCCTGCAGCACTTTGCCAGGCGTTTTCAAGCCCATTTTGGGCCCTTTTTCAGGCTGTTTTTGGCCCACTTTTTAGGCCACTTTCGGGGCTGTTTTAGGCCGTTTTTAGACCATCTTTGGGCCCCTTTTCAGGCCATTTTTGGGCTGTTTTCGGCCTGTTTTGGCCAGCAGAGTGCTGCAGGAAGCCATGGAGGGTGAAAATGAGGAGCGGAGGGCACATTTTAGCTGCGAGGGCAGTGATGGCAAACCTTTTTGTTGTGGTGTGCCAAAAGCGTGCACGTGCCAGCACCCACAATGCAATGCGCCCTGCCCCCCTGCGCATGTGCACACAACCCCCCCCCCATCCCTTACCTGCACTGCACATGCGTGCGCTTCCCAGATGATTTTCGGCCCGTTTGAGGCTGTTTTTGCCCTCCCGGGGGCTCGAATGAAGCCTCTGCGGCCTTCGGAGGCCGAAAAATGGGCCTATTTCGGCACTTCTGGTATTTCCAGAAGGCCTGTTTTTTGGTCTCCAAAGGCTGCAGAGGCTCCCATCGAGCCCCCGGGAGGGCGAAAACAGCCTCAAATGGGTCGAAAATAAGCTGGGAGGCACGCATGCACAGTGCAGGTAAGTTTGGGTTGGCCATAGGTTCGCCATCACAGTGCTAGAGGCACCACAATCTGGTTCTTTCATATTTCCAGGCCGGCCCTGTGGGCTAGATTTAAGCACCTGCCTTGAGTTTGACACCCCTGGTCTAGTATGACTCAGTCCCCTTCTTGCTTAGAAAACAGAGATGTCACTGAAAGATTACAAATCTATATTAATATTCTGCAAAAAATATACAAAGCATGCCCAATTTTGGTCAACATCAAAGCAGAGAAGCCATTGCTTTAATAATCAGAAACAGTGTTTATAATTTACAGTGGTAAATGTCTTTGGCAAGAAAGCCAAAGAAAAATATAATTTGTAAAAGACAGATGCAATTGCAGGGTGTCACATAATCCCCTTTTGCAACCTTCTGAGAAACAATGGGGAAACCAGATTCACTTAACAACCTTGTGGCTAACTTAACAACTGCAGGGAGTCCCTTAATCACTGCGGCAAGAAAGGTCATAAAATGGGGCAAATTTCATTTAATAAATGTTTCGCTTAGCAACAGAAATGCGGGGCTCAATTGTGGTCAGAAGTCGAGTTATTTATTAACCCTTATTAATTTTACAAATAACTCAAGGCAATGAACGTAGCTAATAATCCGCTCTTGGCTTATTTTCCTCACAACAACCTTGTGAGGTGAATTGGGCTGAGAGAGAGAGGGAGAGGGAGAAAGAGAGAGAGAGAGACTGGCTCAGTTACACAATTAACTTTCATGGCTAAGACGGGTCTTGAACTCACCATCTCCCACTTTCTAGCCTGGTGCCTTAAATACTAGACCAGTATTGGTGAATCTTTTCAGCACTGAGTGCCGAAATGGGAGTGCGCGCGTGCGTCAGAGCATCGGAAACTGGAAGAGCAGCTCCCGGGCATGCATGCGCATGCCGGGAAACTGAGATTACGTTTTTTGGCATTCACATAACTGGTAGTAAAAAAGTTGAATCCCACCACTGGTGTATATATATATACACACACCACTGGTGTATATATACACACACACGCGCACACACACACACACATGCATATATATACACCAGTGGTGGGATTCAAATTTTTTTACTACCGGTTCTGTGGGCGTGGCTTGGTGGGCATGTCAGGGGAAGGTTACTGTAAAATCTCCATTCCCTCCCCACCCCACTAACCTGCTTTCCAGCTCTGTTCTCCTGTGCAGGGCAACCAAATAGACCCAGCCGATCAGCTGGGACTCGGGAGGCAGAGAATAAATGGGGCAGGGCTAGTCAGAGGTGGTATTTGCTGGTTCTCCGAACTATTCAAAATTTCCGCTACCGGTTCTCCAGAACTGGTCAGAAGCAGCTGAATACCACCTCTGATATACACACATATGCCAGTGTAACTTTGAATGGTCACTAAATGAACCATTGTAAGTCGAGGACTACCTGTAAGGTGTCTACCTGAAGGTGTCTAAACTTTGATCCCATGACCACGGGGATGCATCAAAGGTCGTTAGTGTGAAAAACAGTCGTTAGTCACTTTTTTCAGTGCCATTGCAACTTAGAATGCTCACTAAATGAACTATTGAATGTTGATGACTACCTGTATTTTGGCAGATCATATAGCCAACCAGATTTAGTGTTACTGTAGAAAACAAAGCTCATTTCTAGGGAGTAACATGTTTCCTTAACAGTCATTAAACAAGCATCTCCAACCTGTTGTAACTTCATAAACATATCCAAGTATGCTTGCAAAAATACAGTAGTGAAATTGAAATTTTAAAATAGTCTTGTTCTAAGGCAGGTATATACAATACTATATTCATATTGCTGACCTTCTTAAAATGACTTTTGCCATAATTTTGTTTACATTTTTACTTTCATGTAATTTTACATACATGCTACTTCACATTTAAATAATATGTAATCCATTTTAGCTGTACATCTGGGTTGTATGTTGTCATTTTAAGAAAAGAAACAAAAATCATCAGGTAAGGAACATGATGTCAATGCTTTCTTCATTTTGGATGGTTTTTGATTCCCCTGATTTATAGAACATAGAATAATAGAGTTGGAAGGAACCTCAGAGGTCTTGTAGTTTCTTTTGGCTTTTGATTTATTTTGATTTAGTTTTTGCTGACTGGGTGAAATTGCCTTAAAATCTTGTCCTGAACTGCATCCATTAAAGAACATGATGTCTTTTACTCTTAATAATAGATTGTTATTTCCTGCCTGCAAGCTTTCATTTTTGGTTATTGTGGGATTGCAGCTTTTCCCCCAGCTACACCATAATTGCATAAAATCAATAGTTTTCAGCATGACAGTGCCTATATCTGCAATGTTAAAAATAAATACAAGCAGTTGTATAAGGTTGTGTCCAGGAACTCAATGTTTCCCTTGTATATTGTCCAATTTTATCTACATTGTTTCCCATTTGACTTCAATAATTCTTTTCTATAGATGTCACTCGCAGCAAGGGTTATATATGTTTATTCAGCAATAAATCTCACCACAAGCAGTGGGACTTACTCCTAGATAACTGTATAAAACATTACGGCATTTAATTTAATTTAGTCTTAAATTATTTTAATGCAATTTAATCTCACACGAGAGCACTGTTATCATTATTTACTTTTGGTTAAGAGTCACCGCTTCGAGACTTCGTGCAGTTACACAAAAGGGCATCTGGAACATTGCTTTGATTTATCATTCTTTTGATTTAGGTCTGGTTTTCATAACTGCCATACACATTTCTTGGTGCCATTGTCAAGTTAACGTTTACAACTCTATCCCTGGAATCGCCGGATGATTCATGCCTTTCTAATTTAGGACGCCTAAATTTGGTTTACAGCCAAGCAGCTTAAAGTTAACTTTGCCCATCCCAATTTCATGACATTGACCCTTTCCAGCAAATTCAGGCACATATATATCTCTGCTCAAAAACAATAGCAATGGGAGCAGAACAGCTTGTGCAGGATGTCAGCGTTGTTTAAAAAAAAAAAAAAGCAGTTTAAGCCTAAAGAAAAAAAAGAAGTATTTTAAGGGTGGGGAAGAAAGCCCATTAAAATCTTAGCATCCATTCCAGTTATTAGAAAGCCTTCCAGTTAAGAGTATCAGATTGCATCAGAAACCAGAACACAAGAGATACAGTGAAAGCTTTTTTCTCTCTCTCTCTTCTCTTTCCTTCCAATAAAGGTATTTTCCCAATCTACAGTTTTTAAGCATCGCGTACTGCAGAAAATTCACAGACAAAGGGTTACACTACCTCGGCAATGGGAGAGGATGTCACAAGCTCCTGTATCTGGATCTTTCAGGCTGCCTCCAGGTCTGCATCTCGCTTTTCCTTTTCATACTGTAGGCAGGAATCATCCTTCGGAGGAGGATTGGCGTTACTCGACACTCATGGTATACTAAAGGAGAACAAGCCCTCGTTGCAAACTTGAGAGAGGTTTTAAATTACATGACCGCAGCTGCTTTAATTTTTCCGGAGGGGATCACACTATAGGGTTTCGGCCCCTTTCCAGTGGGTTTCTTCACTATAAACAACTCCCTCATTGCATAATGAAAGCATGGATTATTTTGTGCAGTGGATTTGAAACAGGCGTGCTTCTCTCTCTCTCTCTCTCTCTCTCTCTCTCTCTCTCTCCCTCCCCCCCTCCCTCCCTCTCTCTCTCTCTCTCTCTCTCTCTCTCTCTCTCTCTCTCTCTCTTTTGATGCACGACTTCCTTGGGATACAGTTGGAAATTCCAGCTATGCAGAGGCTGGAAATGCACAGATGTATATTCGGGGCATTTGGAAAGTATTCACAGCCCCTTTTGCTTTTGTCAGTGTTGCTATGTTTGATTCCACAGTGGTTGAGAAATTCATTTGTTCCCCCACCCACGAATCTACATTCTGTACAGAATTAAAAAGAGAATTTTAGAAATGTCTGTAAATTTATTAAAAAGAAAAAAAACCGAACTATCAGATTGGTGTCAATAGAATAGAATAGAATAGAATAGAATAGAATAGAATAGAATTCTTTATTGGCCAAGTGTGATTGAACAAACAAGGAATTTGTCTTGGTGCAAATGCTCTCAGTGTACATAAAAGAAAAGATGCATTCGTCAAGAGTCAAGAATCATCAGGTACAACACTTAATAATAGTCATAGGATACAATAAGTAATCAAATCATACTAGGAAACAGTCAATAAAAATGGTTAGGATACAAGCAACAAAGTTACAGTCATAAGTGGGAGGAGATGGGTGAAAGGAAGGATGGGAGGATTAATAGTAATAGTAATGCAGACTTTGTAAATAGTGTTGAGGGAATTATTTGTTTAGCAGAGTGATGGTGTTTGGGGAAAAACTGTCCTTGTGTCTAGTTGTTCTGGTGTGCAGGGCTCTATAGCATTGTTTTGAGGGTAGGAGTTGACACAGTTTATGTCCAGGATTTGAGGGGTCTGTAAATATTTTCACAGCCCTCTTTTTGACTCGTGCAGTATACAGGTCCTTGATGGAAGGCAGGTTGGTAGCAATTGTTTTTTCTGCAGTCCTAATTACTCCCTGAAGTCTGTGTCTGTCTTGTTGGGTTGCAGACCCTTTGCAACAACAAGTGAAATTTAGCTCCGCTGCCTCCCATTTCTCTTGATCGTTGCTGACACGTTTCTACACCTCAAATAGTCGACCTGTGGGTAAATTAAATTAATTGGATGTGATTTGGAAAGGCACACACACCTCTCTACAGAAGGCATCACAGCTGACAATGCATAACTGTATCAGAAGAAAAGCCACAAGGTCAAAGAAACTGCCCACAGAGCTCAAAGATAGGATTATTGCAAGGCACAGATCTGGGGAAGGCTACAATAAAATTCCTGCTGCACTGAAGGTTCCTAAGAGCACAAGGGGCCTCTATAATTCTCAAATGGAAGACGTTTGGCGCAACCAGGACTCTTCCAAGAGCCCAGTCAAACTGAGCAATCGTGGGAATTAAGACCACACCTAGACTACTGCATCCAGTTTTGGTCACCACACTAAAAAAGATGTTGAGATGCTAGAAAGTGTGCAGAGAAGAGCAACCAGGATGATTAAGGGACTGGAGGCTAAAACATAATGAAGAACGGTTATAGGAACTGGGCATCAGTGGTGGGATTCAATTTTTTTTACTACCAGTTCTGTGAGCGTGGGTTGGTGGGCGTGGCAGGGAAAGGATACTGTAAAATCTCCAGTCAGAGATGGAATTTGCCGGTTCTCCGAACTACTCAAAATTTCCACCACTGGAAATATATAGTATTCCATTTCTTCTTGTTCTCTAATTGCCAATGTTAACCTACTCATTTCTGCACATTCCAGTATTTTCTAAATCACTTCCTCCACCACCGGAATCTTTTTTATTTTTCCAATTTTGAGCAAATACAATTCTAGCTGCTGTTAATATATGTATAATTAAAAATATTTTTTTCTTTACTATAATTCTCAGGTAGGATCCTCAGTAAAAATATGTCGGGCTTTAAGTTTACATGTTTTTTTAATCATTTTTTCCAACCATGTATGTATTTTTGTCCAATATCTTTTAGCTTCTGTGCAGGTCCACCACATATGGTAATATGATCCAGGTATTTGATGAAAAGGGTTAGCCACCACTACCCTAGGGAATTGCAGATCTATTTTATGACAGTAACAGAGAGAAGATTTCTGTTAAGTGTGGTTGTCACTGTTCAACATTTTATGGCTTTTTCGTAAGAAATATCAATAGAAGTTTTAAATCACTGGAAGCAACTTAGCTCTATTGGAGAATGGTACAATCTCCAAATCTAGTTAAATCACCCTTACCAATTATTTCCAGGGAACTGGGTCACACAGTTCAGTAGAATGCAGAGCTGATGTTTTTAAGCATTACCTTTTCAGTTAATTTTTAGGACACGGTTGAAGTGAGCAAGGCTGTTTTTATTCACTCGGATCCGAAACAGCATTTCGAAGGTGGGAAGGTGAGAGAAGAGTTTGATTGATGGCTACGCAGGTCGTCCTGGACTTAGAATCACTCTGTCATGCCCTTGGTAGAGTCAGACTCTGAGGGAGAGGAGGAACAGCAGACAGGGAGTGGAGGTGTGGTTCCAGAGGTTGTATAGGAGGCTGGGGAAGGGCAGAGGCCGGCTGGGCAGTCAGAGGAAGAACCAGGCCCATCCCCTCTTCATCCTAGGGCATGCAGGGAGGAGAGGATAAGGAAACAACTTGGCTTATGAAAGAGGAAGTGGCCAAGATCTCCCTCATTGGTTGCAGCTGGGGAGAATAGTATATAAGAGAGACGATTACAACACAGTGTTGCCAGAAGCAAAGCGTGTTTTATTTTGGGCTGAAGTTATCTTGGTTGGCGTCCTTCCAACAGACTGTGCCTTGTTACCTCCTTGAAGGTGGTAATTACTTATCCTGGTCTGTTGTGGAAATTTTGTCATTGTAGTTTGTTTGGTTTTTTATTTCACCTCTATCTGCTCATTAAGTTCGGACTGTATGGCTTTCTTTTGAAGACTATTTTTGAATCAGCTTTATCTCCAACTGAGAATTATTGAACAGTGGGGCCAAGTTGGAGGCATTATTTATGTTTTGGATTTTGTTACATTTGTGTTACACTCTGGGTCATCACACACTCATTTAGTGTGGTGGTGGTGGTTGTTTTAAATTTACAACAGCACTGAGGAAAAGTTGCTGTCGTTTTTCACTTAACGACTGTTGCAGCCTTCCCCACAGTCATGGGATCAAACATCCAGACGTTTGGCAGCCAGCATGTGTTTGTGACGTTGATGGGTTCATCCCGTTTTAGGCCTAGTAAGCCTCTCTGCAGGCCCCTGGGAGCAAAAAAGGACTGGGGGGGGCCCACACCGCCCCACCGCCCCATGCCCCATTCTAGGCCTAGTAAGCCTCCCTGCACTTACCTGGGAGCCAAAACAGGGTCCGTGGGGACTCCTGGAAGGGGTGGGGAGGGGCCAGCCAGTCAAAATTTCCGCTATCGGTCCGAATCGGCTGAATACCACCTCTGGGTTCATGGGATCACCTTTTGGGACCTTCCCCGCTGGCTTCAGATAAGCCAGATTCACTTAACGATGGTGGAATTCACAACTACGGCGATTTGCTTACCCATTATGGCTAACAAGGTCGTACAATGGGGCAAAACTCATGGGCTCAGTTGTCGACATAAGTCGAGGGCGGCTACCTGTAATTCAGACGGTGGTGGTTACTCCCAGAATGGAGCTAAATCATCTGATGAATGTGAAACTTTTTCTCCCTGGAGATTTATCATCCATCGTAGAGTTTCATCCAGGCATCCTTCAAGCAATAAATCAGGGAAGCTTTATTCTTGTCCTAGCAAGGGCTGAGCCATTTTCTAAGCCATCATAAATCATGAATTGCTGTGAAGAAATGGCCAGAGACAGCTGGTAGTGTCAAGTCAGCAACTCTGTCTTTTCTGCTCTTCTGATCTGGCAAGAAAACTCCAGAGGAACTTAACATATATATAGATTATTCTGCGCATCTGTTTGCTCAAAGAGATTTCAGTCTCTGCTCTTCCAATGCCTCCAAAACCCAACATTTTTCTGGAAGAAAGAGCAGGATTGATAAATGTCTTTCGCCTATTTTTATCCGAGTGTTAGGCTTTTTCAAAACATTGTGGTCCTGTTGTGTACATTAGAAGTATTAAATGTGGTTCCTGCGATATAATTCATGCTGACATTTTAAGTCTAATTAAGTACTTGCATTAAGCTTTTCACTATCCCCTTGACATTAGGAAAAGAATAACTCAGCCTCACGGGCAACGAAAATTGTCTCCTGATCCTTTCAGTGGGAGGTCAGTCTTTAAAAATGCACCCACAGATCTGGAAGAGGTGGCATAAATACATGCATATTTATCTCTGCCTTTTACTTCATTCTTATCTAGAGGCCTGTGGAGGGTGGTGGATTTTACTGATACCGAATGCCTGAACGAGGTGAATAGACTTGCCATGTAAAAATGTTGTTATAAATACTAGGACAACATTTGGGGTGAAGCGGTATAAGAGATATATCTATCTAGATCAAAATATCTATATATCTCTATCTCTCTACCGTGTTTCCCCCAAAATACAACCTACCCTGAAAGTAAGACCTAGCTTGATTTTGCACATGAGCCCAATATAAGCCCTACCCCCAAAATAAGCCCTAATTAAGATCCTGTCCACTCTAAATTAAGCTAGGGTGGGGATGGGGGAGTGGAGCTGCCCTACTGCTTACCTTTGGACTGTTGTAACCAGGACTCACACACCCCGACACCTGCCTTGCTGGCCCATTTCTTCTGCAGCTGGCAAGACTGACAAGGCTTTCCTGAAGGCCTCTGTAGATGATAAGGAAGCTTTGGATCGACCCAGAGCTCTGTTATTGGCTGCAGAGGCCTTCAGGGAAGCCTTGCCGGCCTCAGAAGGTGTTCCTGAAGGCCTCTGACAGTGAAAAGGAGGCCAGGGGTGACGCGTGCAAGTGAGGTTAGTCAGTGGAGGACATCCCCCGAAAATAAGACCTGGTGCCTTTTTTGTTGGCAAAAAATACATAACACAGGGTCTTATTTTCAGGGAAACACGGTATCTACCTATCTATCATCTGTCTGTCTATAATTATACACACATATGCATGCATATAATTTTTATTAAGAATCGTGATTACAGTAGTAAAATCTAATATAAGTAGTCCTCGATTTACAACAGTTCCTTTAATGACCAAAGTTATAACAGCACTGAAAAAGGTGACTTGGGAGGACGCCAGAACCCAGATAAGACTTGACAAACAAAGACAATTCACACTTTGCTTCCAGCAAGGTGCTGTGCGCAAACACCCTTTTTATCCTGTTCTCCCAGCTGCAGCTAATGAAAGGAATCAGGGCCCTTTCCTCCCCTGTAACCCACATTGCTCCCTTCTCTATTCCTCCCTGCATGCCCTAGGATGAAGAGGGGGTGGGCCTGGGTCTTCTTCTGAATGCCCAGCCGGACTATGCCCTTCCCCCCGTTTCATCCAGTCACTGGAACCACACTCCCACTTCCCTGTCAGCTGCTCAATCTTCCCCTCAGAATCATTCTCCAAGGGCATGACATATTGGAACTTGCAGAAATGAGTAGACTAACATTAGTAATTAGACAGCAAGAAGAAAGGGAGTATTATAAGATTTGGGATCTATTTTATGGATGGTTGGAAAATAAAGCAGAAATTAAATGATATTGTAATCATGATATTCAGAAGAGTTGGAAAATGAAGCAAGAAATTTAATGATATTGTAATAATGATAGACTATGATATATAATGTTGAATAGGTTATAATATGAATGTAAACTCAATAAGAAACATATATAAATATTATTATGTGCACAAGATATATGTACCCAGTCGACACACTGTATAACTGAAAAATGGTTTTTATTTGTAGTTTTTGTTATAAAAATGTTTTTTAAAAAAACAGATAACAGTGGAAGGCTTCAGAAATCTTGGTAACAGCTGCAGCAGGATCCGGTACCTGACAATTAACGAAATGCCTACCTTTACCGACAGATGCATTCAAGTAAGAAAGGACCACGGTCTTTTTAACAAAAATCTTCAATTTAGCTTTTAGCCTTGAGAGCCTTAGGTATGAAAGAGTGGTGACAGTTGAATGCGTAGAATTTTTTTGCAGGTGAACGGGTGGGCTGGCTGAATTTGGAAATACAGATAGTCCTTGACTTACAACCATAATTGTCCCCCAAATTCCCTGTGCTACGTAAGACAGTGTCAATTCATAAAACATATTGTATACATGTTTTATAGTTGTCAACAGAAAGAAGGGAGGGGAGTTTCAAAGAGCAGGCAGCAGTGTGGAATCGAAAGTACATTCCATTCATAATTTCTTCAGAGGCTGATTAGATGACTGAAGCTTCTGCCTCGCAAAAATCTAATTGGAGAGCATGATTGATGACTCTTGGCTATGGACGTTTGTCGTTGGATGATACACCCAGAGAGGTGGGGCGGGAGAAGCAGGATCAAGTGAATTATATATCTCAGAGTCGTCTATGCCCAGGCAAATGCCGGCATGTTAACTTCTAAGAAAAGAAAAAAAGTTTGGGGAGTGTGGCTTGTGGCTTATGATTTAATTGGAGTAACTGCCGGAATCCTGACAGACAGTTGTTAAGTGAGTTGCATCCCATTGTACGCACTTCTTTTGATACCGTTGTTAAATGAATCACCACAATTGTTAACTGAATCATGTACTTGATCTCTTTTTAACAAGCGTCCATTCATTATTAGCGTCCTTTAACTTAGGAGCACAATTGAGCCCAAATTTCTATTGCTGAGTGAGACAGATATTAAGTGAGTTTTGCCCCATTTTATGACCTTTCCTGCCACCGTTGTTCTGTGAATCACTACAGTTGTTAAGTTAGGAACACAGTGGTTAAGTGAATCTGGTTTCCCCGTTGACTTTGCTTGTCAAATGGTCGCAAAAGGGGATCACATGACTTCCTGGGACACAGCAACCATCATAAATATGAGTCAGTTTCCAAGCCTTTGAATTTTGATCATGTGACCACGGGGAGGCTGTAACAGTCATAAGTGTGAAAAACGGTCATAAGTCACTTTTTTCAGAAGCGTAACTTCAAACGGTCACTGAATGAACTGTTGTAAGTCAAGGACTACCTGTATGTCTTGGGATGAGGTAATAATTCAATTAAAATATCAACCTAGTTTGTGGCTGATATAAACAGTCTTAGACTTAGAATAACTTTATTGTCACATTGAATGTTCACTAATCGGCATATGTTAAAATGACATTTCATTGCATACAGCTCTCAAAGGGTCACCAATATACACTACAAATCAAGGGTGGTATTCAAATTTTTTCCTTACTGGTTCTGGGGTGCAGCTTGGTGGGCCATGTGGTGAAGGCAACATATATAGGGCGGGAGTGGGCGGGGTGAGCATCGAGCAGCCGGAAAAGGCGAGTGAGTATCGAGCTCCTGGAAGGGGCGAGTGAGCGTTGAGTGGCCGGAAGGGGCAAGCGAGCATCGAGCAGCTGGAAAGGGTGAGCGAACGTCAAGTGGCCAGAAGGGGTGAGCGAGCGTCGAGCATGCAACTAAGTGGGGGAGCGTGGCCAGCCAGAAGTCGCTATCTATTCGGCGACCCAGGCCAAATTGCCATTATCAGTTCGGCTGAACCGGTGCAAACCAGCTGAATCCCACCTCTGCTACAAATGTATACAGACGAATTTCCTGTTGGGATTTTTCAGGAAAGAAACGGGAAAGCAAAACAATAAATGGCTTTATAGAATTTTGCATGTGCTAGCCTGTTCACTGTATTTAAAAAGAAAAAGATTTTAGAAAGGAGCCGAGCAAATTCATAGCAGATGAAGCAATGATAGGCACAGGGAATATTTCTCAATATATTATTGCCTCGGGAAGCGATTGGGTTTTCCAATTTGCTTGATCATTGAAAGCAATTGAAATATTGGTGAGATTTATTTATCCCTATCATATAGTATCCACTAAACGTATTCAATATTGTTATTATTTTGGTGCTCACATAGTCACCCAGATGTTTAGACTGGATGTGGCTGTCAGGATTCTATCAGTTACCCCCATTTAAATCATGAGTCTCGAGCCAAACTTTCAAAACTTATTTTCCAATGGGACACATCCATAGCCAAAGTCATCAATCATGCTTAGAATTTTACACAGCAGAAACTTCGGTCACCTAGTTACTATCTTTGAAAACATTTATGGAATGCAGTTTTGGTTTTGCAAGCTGACCACCGCTCTCTCCTCTCTTTCTGTTGGCAACTCTAAAAAGACCATAGAAATATTTTATGAGTAGGCACGTCGAACGTCCAGAAGGGGCAAGCGTGTGTCAAGCGGCCAGAAGGGGCGAGCGAGCATCAAGCGGCCAGCAGGAGCAAGCAAGCGTCAAGCGGGTGACTGCGTGGGGGTGTGTGGCCATGCCAGAAGTCGCTACCGGTTCGGCAACCCAGGCCAAATTGCCATTAACTGTTTGCCCAAACCGGTGCGAAACAGCTGAATCCCACCTCTGCTTCAAATATATACAGACGAATTTCCTGTTGGGATTTTTCGGGAAAGAAATGGGAAAACAAAACAACAAATACCTTTATAGAATTTTGCATGTGCTAGCCTGCTCGCTATATTTAAAAAGAAAAAGATTTTAGAAAGGATCTGGACAAATTCATAGCAGATGAAGCAATGATAGGCACAGGGAATATTTCTCAATGCCAATTGTTGACAGATGCCAGGAACAGAAAGGATGGTGCTTGATCTTTTCTTGACCTCCGTAGAAAAAGAACACTGGATATTAAACAGACCTTTGGTTTGGATCAGCCTGTATTTCAGGTTTAAACGGTGAAGGCTCCAACCCCTGTCATTTCCTGTCAGTGATTTCTCGAAAATCCCCGGTGTATCTCAGCTTTATTAAAATCATTACCTCCACAGCTCCAGGGCACGCTTAGAGGAATTTTTTGAAGGACACTGCCAAACATCCTCAAGGACATAATTGGAAACTTTAGGAACAGTATTTTTGCCTTTTCTGTCAGTTACTATTGATCCAAAGCACCAGAAGGCAGGACAAGAAACAATGGATGGAAACGGATCTAGGAGAGAAGCAACCTAGAACTAAGGAGAAATTTCCTAAAAGTGAAAAGAATTAGCCAGTGAAATGATTTGCCTTCAGTTCAGAAGTTGTGGGTGCTCTAACAGTGGAGGTTTTAAGTCACTTGTCTGAAATGGTGTAAGGTCTTCTGCTGGAGCAGGGGGTTGGACTAGAAGACCTCCAAGGTCCCTTCCAACTCTATTCTGATTGGTCTGCCTATCTTAAGAGGAAACAAGGAATGGATGGCTTAGAAACCTTTCCTTTGATAATGCTTCCTAATTCACCATATGTCCACTGGTTAGGTGTCCTAGGAATGGGTTATGGGAGTATTGTGTTGTTGTTGTTTTTATTAAATCCACTTCTAGGTTGTGGAAGTGAATTTAAGTAGTTGTCATGCCCCTTTTGGAATCTGATTCTGAGGGGGAGGTTGAACAGCTGACAGGGAGTGGGAGTGTGGCTCTGGTGGCTATGGAGGAAACTGGGGAAGGGCACAGTCCAGCTAGGCATTCAGAGGAAGACCCAGGCCCACCCACTCTTCATCCTAGGGCATGCAGGGAGGAACAGAGAAGGGAGCAATGTGGGTTATGGGGGAGAAAAAGGCCCTGATTCCCTTCATTAGCCACAGCTGGGAAAACAGGATATAAAGGGTGTTTGCGCACAGCACCTTGCTGGAAGCAAAGCGTAAATTATCTTTGTTTGTCAAGTCTTATCTGGGTTCTGGTGTCCTCCCAACTGTGTGTGGTTTGTTAACTTTTGAAGCCTGCAATTCCTTATCCTTCCCTGCCTCGTTAATTGCTGCAATGTGATTTGTGTTGGTTTTTATTTATAATTTGTATGTACTTTTGGTTCGGACTAAATTTCTTCCCTTTAAAAACTGTTTTTGGGAGAGTTTTTTCTCTTGCTGATTATAAGTAGACATTGGGGGCCAAGTTGGAGGAATTAAAGGGACTTTACCTACAAGGGGAGCCTGTTCCCAGTGCGTGTATGCACAGAGCTGCTAGAAGGTGAGAGCAGCTGAAACAAAAGGGGTGACTTGGGAGTAAGGCTGGGAGGTGATTGCCCCTCCCATAAGGGATAAAAGTCAGACCTAAATGATGAAACCTTTGCAGGAAGCAAAGTAGTTTGATCGGTTCCAAGTCATCCTTAAGCTCTGTGTACTTTGGTTGGTTTTTTCTTGTACTTCCATTGTTTCTTTTATAGTTAATTGGATACTTCTGTTTCTGGCAGCATTCCATAGAACTGGAAAGTGAGTGCTTATCTTGGGGGACTGTTTAAGATTAGTTCTGGCTGTGAATGGAAACAATTCCCAGTGTTGCAATAAAATAGGTTTTGTTTTTAAAACAAGTTTGTGTTAATTACGTGTGAAGAAGCCTGGGTGTTAAAGTTGCCAAGGTTGGACAACCCCTAAGATAAAACATGATTTTCCGGTTGGGAAAAGTGGGAATGGGAATATTAAATTTGTATGAAATAGCATATCAAAATGAAGTTTTTTTTATTTTTTTATTTTTTTATCAAAGGCGTTTTAAGAAAGGATGTTGTGTGTTTATTGAATGGTTTCCTCCTCTTTTCAAGGCTTTGATGCCAAAGTGCCAATGGATTGAGTCGGTTGAATGCAATGAATCTCCACACTTGTCCGATATTGGTCTCAAAGCATTCAACACCTGTCAGCTTGTTAAAATGAAGATTCAAGGTTAGGGGGAAAAACGTAGTAATTCTAGTAGTAATAATAGTAACGTAGTATGAAAAATGTAGTGATGAAAACACATCATATTTTTAAAGAACATTGCTATTTCCTTTCACTTTAGATCAGGGATGTCCCTGGAACATACTATCATATGTGGTGGACATGTACAGAAGCCAAAAGATATTAGTCAAAGATACACACGTGGTTGGAAAAGATGATAAAACAACATATAGACTTAAAGCCTGAGATTTTTTTATTTGGGATTTTAACCGAGAATTATAGTAAAGAAATAACATACTTAATTATACATATACATATAGTAAAGAAATAACATACTTAATTATACATATATTAACAGCAGCTACAATTGTATTTGCTCAAAGTTGGAAAAATGAAAAAGCTCCGATGGAGGAGGAGGTGATTAAGAAAATAATGGAATGTGCAGAAATGAGTAGGTTAACACTTAGAGAACAAGAAGAAATGAAGTATTATAAGATTTGGGATCTATTTTACGGATGGTTGGCAAATAACGTGAGAAATTAAATGACAAATGTAACAATGTGATATTATGATATATAATGTTGAATAGGTTATAATATGAATGTAAACTCAGTACAAAATGTATACAAATATTAATATGTGCACAAGACATATGTACCCAGACGACACACTGTATAACTGAAAGATGGTTTTAATTTCTTGTTTTTGTTGTAAAAATTAAAAAAGACAAATTTACAAATTAAAAAAAAAAGATCAGAGGTGTCAAACTTTGATCTGGTCCACGGGGCCAACCTGGAAATGGGCATGCAAGAAGGAACGGGGAAGAAGAGAAAGAGAAAGAAGAAAGACAAAGAAAAAAGAAGGGAAGATGGGAAGAGAGTAAGGGAGGAAAAAGAAGGAAAGAGAGGAAGAAAGAAGAAAGGAGAATGAAGAGGGAAGGAAAAAGGAAGGAAGGAAGGAAGGAGATTATAATGAGAGTGAGGGAAAGTCTTAGGGAAGTCCTGCCTTAGTACTTCACCACCACAGGTGCCTCTGACGCAAGTGATGGTCAGCTGGCCACGCCCAGTCGAGAACTACCTGCGCAATATATGGCTCGTTCTTCAGTATTCCTGTCTGTTATAACTTGAGGCAGCTCTGCCAGGCTCCTCTGTATTTGGACAGGCCTGGCTGCGCTTGTGACCCTGTGGTCGGGCCAGGCCGACCACAAGGTCATGAGCACAGCAACAAATTGCAATAGTTGGCAGGTTAACATTACCTCATACAGATAAGCATTCCAGGCTGGGTCTGACAAGGGAGGAAACAATAACAAGAGATAAGCCCCCTTTGACTAACATGGCTGAAGCAAAAAAGTTAATTCCAGATGGGAGGCGGTTGGAAGGGCCTATTACTCGTGCAAGGGCTAAATTGATTAATGATATATAAAGGCAGAGATCTCTGTAATGGATGTCAGCAGAGGCTGACAAAAGCTTAGTAAGTACAGTAAATATATATGTATAGGGTAGGGGTCAGTAACCTTAAACACTAAAAAGAATCATTTGGACCCGTTTCCCACAGAAAAGAAAACACCAGGAGCCACAAAACCTGGGTGGGTGTGGCCAACTCCACGTTATTCCTACCCAGTCATGTGTTTTCTGTGGGAAGTGGCTCTCTCTCTCTCTCTCTTCCCCTCTCATTTCTGTTTTTTGTGTTTTATCTTCTCAGGCCAGGCGAGGAGTAACTGGGAGGGGAGGGCAAGGGGCGGGACCAGCCAGTGGTGGGATCACCCAACAGAGAGCCACAGCAGAGGGCCCAAAGAGCCGCATGAGGCTCCAGAGCAACAGGTTGCTGACACCCGGTATAGGGGTGAAGTAGTTTTTCCATGCTGGGTTAGAGTGACCTGATGGTGTATTGTGTCAACAGGGAGTAACCTGGTTACGGATCTCAGTTTCAAAGTCATAAGCAAATTCTGGCCCCGAATGAATCACATTTGTGTGACCAATTGCAAGAAAATAACAGATGTAGCTGTCAAGTTAATTGCACCGTTGGACAATATCATTATCCTCAATCTATCCGGCTGCCCAAGGTATTGTTATAGTTACACGGTGGAATCATTTGTTGGAATGGAATTAATTTTTGATAGGTTCCTAAGTATGGAGATCATTGCATTACATCCATGTCAGGGAGGAGAAAAAAGGATATACATAGAGCCAAAATACGCAAACCAATTTGCCTGCAAATCAGCACCACGTAAACATTGAATCAATACCACGTGAAGTGTTAGTACCATTTTATAAAGCCTTAGTAAGGCCACAGCTGGAATACTGTCTCCAGTTTTGGTCGCCGCATTACAAAAAAGATGTTGAGACTTTGGCAAAAGTGCTGCAGAGAAGAGCAACTAAGATGACTAGGGGACTGGAGAATTAGTCCCTTAATCATTTTTGTTGCTTTTTTCTGCACTTTTTCCAAAGATTGGAGCTTAACACATATGAAGAATGGTTGCAAGAATTGGGTTTGGCTAGTCTAGAGAAAAGAAGGACTGGGGGGGGGGGGACACAATAGCAGTATTCCAGTATTTGAGGGGCTGCCAGATAGAAGAGGGGGTCAACTTATTTTCCAAAGCATCTTAAGGCAAGGCAAGAAACAATTGATGGAAAGAAATCAAAGAGAGAAGCAACCTGTAGCTGCAACCTTAAATAGAATTCCTTAAAAGCAAATGTGATTAGGAGGGCTGTCTTTTCAATAAATATGCATCAAGCTGTTAATAATCGGGCTAACATACAGAGTTAGTTCCAATCAGTCTTATGTTTAATTTATAAAGTAGACAAACTTATTTGATATATTAATAAAAATTGGCCTGGTAGCATTTCTTTGAGAAATTTATATCTCTGAAGATTGACGTCGATTGCTATATATATTCAAAGTGTTGTATCACCTTGCGTTCAAATATCAAAATTATTAAAATGTAATTTTAGAATCATGACGAAGATAAGAATAAGTATTTTCTATTCATGTTTCAGAATCAGTGATTCGGGAATAAAATCATTTGTCGATGGCCATTCAGCTTCAAAATTAAAAGAACTCAATTTGGCTAATTGTTCCTATGTCTCCGACATTGCCCTCGTGAAAATATCGGAAAGGTATTACATTGTAAGGTTTTTTTTTAATTTGCTGATATTAAGACTAGGAATTTTTAAATTTAAAAAAAAGCCCTTGGACATTCTCAGTCATCCAGGACAGGTCATCGTTGTCCCAAAGGTGCTTTTTCAAGAAGCAACTGGACTTTCTGTGTTTTTCCTTGAAGGCATTTCGCTTCTCATCCAAGAAGCTTCTTCAGTTCTGATTGAATGGTGGAGGATGGAAGAATTTACGGTATATTCCTGAGTGTCATCTGGCTGTTAGCACTCCTGTCATGCCCCTATTGGAGTCTGACTCCGAGGGAGAGGAAGAACAGCCGACAGGGAATGGAAGTGTGACTCCAGAGGTTGTGGAGGAAACTGGGGAAGGGCACAGGCCGGCTGGGCATTCAGAGGAAGACCCAGGCCCATCCCTTCTCCATCCTAAGGCACACAGGGAGGAGCGGATAAGGGAGAAACGTGAATGGCATGGTCTATGGGCGAGGAAGGGGTCCTGATCCCCTTCATGGGCTGCAGCTGTGAGGACTGTTTAAAAGGACAAACTGCGCATGGCCCAGTGATGGAAGCAAAGCGTGAAATAATTATAGTCTTTCAGTTCTTATCTGAGTTGCGCGCGCAATGTAAAATCGCCGAACCGGTAGTTACACTGGTCGGATTCCACCCCTGAATGGATGGATAGATGGATAGATGAGATAGTTAGATGAGAATGTAGATAGTCAGACAGGTAGAGAGAGAGGAATGGATGGATGGATGGATAGATGATATAATTATTTAGATAGAGAGAGGAGGGGGAGGGGGAGAGAGAAAATTCCCTGGTAAAGCACTACCTTGGCATAGTTGCATGGTCTGAGGAAGCTAAGAGCAATGCCACAGATTCCACCATACTGGACAGGTCTCGCCAGAAGAACCAGACAGAGTGTCTTTCTCTTTCCCATGAAAAAAATACGGTGAGACGTAATTTTAGAGAAACCCATGGCAGATTGGTCATCATCCCCCAAGTCAACAAGGATCATGCCAGGGGTTAGAGCTCATAATCATTATTTTACATAATTGGCTGGGGGGCTTAAAGCCATAGGATATTTAATTTTGAATCGGTCCCAAGATGGAAGCAGCAGACTGAATGAATGCCATTCACCTAACCCTGGCATCCTTTACACCAAGTCAGAATGATTCAACAAAATTTATTTCTCTCTTTCTCTCTCTAGCTGTGAAAACATTCAACCCAATATGATTCCGTGAAGCTTCACTGGTAGCACACAAAGATGCCTCAGTGTGGCAAAATAGCAGAGACCTCACATACACAAAGCCAGAGTGTCACTCAGGATTTTAAATGGAATTACATTTAATTCATCGAAGCAGATTGCCTTAGTAATGCCAGCATTTGGAAAGAATGAAACCCTTAAAAAAAAAAAACTCCATTCCTAGGAAGGGAAGGTTCTAGAAAGTCTTCCAATATACTGATGAGTGTATAGGGCAGTGGTGGCTAACCTTTTTGAGCTCCTGTGCCAAAAATTGTGTGCGCGCTCGCGTGCCAACACCCAAGAAGCAATGCATACCCTCCCATAACCCCTATGCATGCACACGCAATCCCCGCCCACCTCGCCACCCCGTTACCTGCACTGCTCCTCACAGCTGATTTTCGGCCGGTTTGAGGCCTTTTTCGGCCTCCCAAAGGCTTGAGGAAGGCTTCTGCAAGCTTTGTAGGCCGAAAACTAGCCCCGTTTCGTCACTTACTGTTTTTCCGAAAATACCGGAAGTGACGAAATGGGACTAGTTTTCAGCCTGCAAAGCCTTCAGAAGCCTTTCTCAAGCCTTTGGGAGGCCGAAAAAGGCCTCAAACCGGCCGAAAATCAGCTGGGAGGCGCGCAAATGTGCAGTGAGGTAAGTTTGCCTGCAGCTCGCATGCCGGCACAAATGGCTCTGCGTGCCACCTGTTGCATGCGTGCCATAAGTTCGCCATCACGGGTATAGGGGTTGCAAAATCCAAAAGGTTTTGGGTGTATGTATGTGTGTGTGCGTTTGTGTGTGCATGCTTTAGGTCTGTATTATTACTTAAAAGTTCCACTTTAATTTTCTTAGTTGGAGGCAGTTCATCCTCAACTTACAATAGTTCACTTAGCGACCACTTGAACTTACAACGGCACTGAAAAAAGTGACTTATCACCACGTTTCACACTTAACGACCATTGCAGCTCTCCCATGGTCACAGGATCAAAATTCAGATGCTTAACAACTGATTCATACTTATAACGGTTGCCATGTTCCAGGGCGATGTGTTTCCCTTTTGCGACTTTCTGAAAAGCAGAGTCAATGGGGGAAGCCAGATTCATTTAACAACCGTGTTACTACCTTAACACCTGCAATGATTCACTTAACATCTGTGTAGTTTAGTTTAGTTTATTGTCATTGCACCTCGTACAATGAAATCAAACACCATTTTCAGTGCACATCATTCATGACCATGAAAATAAACACAAACACACATCCTTCACACTCTACACATTGAATTGAAAACCCCTGATATTGCATTCATATTGCACTCTACAACAGAATTCAAAAGAGCTACTGACCTGGGATAGAAGCTGTTTCTCAGCCTATTTGTCCTTGTTTTTAATTATCCTGTACTGTCTGCCAGATGGCAATAGTTTTTTTTAAAAAGTGTTCCCAGGATGAGATGGATCTTTAATAAGAATGTTTTGAACTTTCTTAAGGCAGCAGGAGCTCTAAAGCTCTTCCAAAGAGAGGAAAGAGCAACCCATGATCCCCTGGGCAATGACCTTAACCCTCTGGAGTGGTTTCCTATCTGCCCCTGTGCAATTGGCAAACCATACAGAGTTGCAGTAAGTTAAGATACTCTCTATGGTGCAGCGGTAGAAGGTCACCAGCAGTTTTCCATTCAGTTGTTGTTTTCTGAGAAGTCTCAGGTAGTATCATCTCTACTGGGCCCTTTTGATCAGGGATGCAATGTGGGCACCCCAGGTCAGGTCCTCTTTTAGGGTAACACCCAGAAACTTAAAACTGGCCACTTGCTCCACTCTGTCTCCATGGATAAGCAAGGGCTGGATGTCTGATCTGTTCCTTCTGTAGTCCACTATAAGCTCCTTGGTCTTATTGGTGTTGAGGACCAAGTTATTGTCTCCAGACCACGAAAGCAACCAGTCCACCTCATCTCGATAGGCAGACTCATCCTCTCCGGAGATGAATCCCACCACTGTTGTATCATCTGCAAATTTAGCAATAGTATGACTAGTGTGAGTGGGAATGCAGTCATGCACATAAAGAGTAGGTGGCAAGGAAGGTCGCAAAACAGGGCAAAACTCACCTAGCAAATGTCTCACTTGGCAGCAGAAATTTTGGGCTCAAGTGTGTTTGTAAGTTGAGGATTAAGTAAGAAACATTTCAACATTTCTTTTTTTCCTTGAACATAACTCATTTATTTAATTGGAACCGAGATAGAATAAGTAAATATACTGTTTGCTTGAAATAATTAAACAATTCTTTATTTAAGTATAATTCTGACAAGTTCAGAATTTTTTTCTATTTCTGGAATGTCATAATTCTAATTTATAATTGCAATCTAATTAAAATTGAATAACCTTTTGGTAAAATGGGGTCTATATTGCATTTCTCATTAAGCATGGCAAAATAGTCCATTTCACAGTCACAAATGGATGATTTAAAATATTTTCTACACTATTACAGACTCGAGATGATTTTCATGAAGTACCATGCATCAGGCCTCTTTGCCAATCACAGATGTTAAAATAAGGTTCAGTACAACTTCAGGAACAGGATTAATGGAAAATCTAAGCATTTTTTTTGTTGTTTTAGCAAAGGGAATTACATTTAACAAGATAACACTCACATTTTTCAGTAGTAAAAACTTTAGACCAATTTAGACAATCAACAACGTAAACAGAACAAAAGGGCTATTTTCAATGCCATGATTGTGCCATTATATGTATTTTCCCCCCTGGTTATATATTTTTTTCTATTTCATTTCATTTTACATTTTCAACATTTCTTATCCCGTCTTTAGATGCCCAAATCTGATTTATTTGAATTTGAAAAATTGCCAACTTGTGACGGATACTGGGTTTCAGGCTATGACAGCAATGGCTTCGTTAGCCTATCTCAATATTTCACGAACGGGCATCAGTGATCAGGTGAGCAAATGAAAATGTCTGCTAGGTATGCTTCCTTGAATATGCACGTGCTTTCTGGGTCATTGTAATGTTTCCCGCGTGTCCGATCACACTTGGCCAATAAAGAAAATGGGGCAAGATGTAAAATGGGCCAAAACTGAACAGGTTTTTTTTTGCTTAGAAATGGAATTTTTTGGGATCACGTATGGTCCTAAGTTGAGGGCTATCTGTAGAGCATTGTGTCTTCTGGGTCTTTTGTCACAGCCAACCTTTTCCCTTTTGAGAATATTATTGTCAACTAAAAAAATACTTCTTTGGTCTTTTTAGTTGCCAGCAGAAAAGGGAGTGGGGGAAAGCAGTGCATTCCTTAAATGCTTCAGATAATTGCTAGGCAGCTGAAGCTGTTGCCGTGCAAGATTATTACTGGAGAGCATGATTGATGACTCTTGGCTATGGATATGTCCCATTGGAGAATATACATCCAGGGATGGGGGGAAGACCAGGGTCAAGGGTGAAATGAATGATGTGTCTTAGAGTTGGCTGCCCCCAGGTAACGCTGACATGGTCACTCCTAATAAATCAATTTTTTTACTCCGAGAGATGTGGCTAGAGACTTATGATTTGAATGGAAGTGAATGTCGGAGTCCTGACAATTACATTTTTTTTCAATCTAATTCTCTACCTCTTCCTGCCAATTTTTTTTTTTTCAAATTCCCAACACCAGTTTCCTTCTTTTCCCAATTTACAGTGTTGGGGTGTATTTTACAAGTCAATCAGTTTAATAATTATTTTTTATACGAGATTGCTAGTACATTGACATTGGTTTAAAATGTTTATAGGGCTTGGAGAGCCTTGGCAGGCATTTCAAAATTAAGGAGATTATTCTGTCGGAGTGTAGGCTGATTTCTGATACGGGAATGAAGGTAAAACAACATAGAGGTGTCTCATTTATGACTGTTGGATTTTCTGTATTAATATTTTGAGGTTTCATTTCATAACATTCCTTGTCATTCTTAAATAAGCATTATCCTTGCTATCTGTGGGACTGAATTCATTTGGAAGGTATTTCTATGCCACAACTACAGTAGTATCCAGGCAGTAGATGGCAGTGTTTACCAGTTTGGATCTATGGTATATACTCTATGCTCTTTTATTCTAAGTAGAGTTTCTTGTTTCCTCTTAAACAGTTGGGCAGTAAAGCACATGGTGACTGTAACTTTTGTTTGCTCTGTGCTGCTATATATAAACAGAATTTCTAACACTCAAATTCATCCCTATCTTGCTTCAGAAAGCCAGGGTGGGATCTGGTAGATCTGTCTCGATGTTGAAATTTAATTCAATAAATTAAATTAACTTATGTTCCAGGTATTGTGTACTGAATTGAAAAAACTAGACTACCTTGATTTGTCTTTCTGCCGGCACATATCAAATTCTACATTAAAATATTTGTCACTGAATTGTCGCAAACTCACATGTCTCATTCTGATGGGCTGTTTCAAGGTATGTATGAAAACCACGATACCTAATGCCGTTTTCCCCTTTTGAGAATGTCATGAGTAATAATTTTCTCCCCCAGAGTTCTGTCAAGTCTGCCCCATCCAAAGGGATAAGAAATTTTTGTTACTAATAACTTTGGCACATGGAGATTCCTGTAAATTCTCCTTTACTTCAGGTGGAGTAATTCGCCAATTCTTGTGCGACAAAGTCATTGTTGAACCCAGTTCCCCCATCCTTGGTTCTATATATTTTGCCAGCACTTGTGGCTAGATCTAGTCTAGATCATGAGAATGGGAGACATTTGTGGTTCACCCCTTCTTTCTAAAAACAGGGACGCCCAACCTTGACAATTTTAAGACTTGGGGACTTCAACTCCCAGAATTCCCCAGCTAGCCATGGGGAATTCTGGGAGTTGAAATCTTAAAGTTGCCAAGGTGGGATCCCCTAAACAGAACAAAAGTTTTGTGAAGAGAGGGGAAAGATCCGCTTTCTCTCTCTTTTTCTCTCTTCAGCAAAACATAAGCTTGAAATTGGTAGGACGATTCCCAGTCAGCCAGGAAGCTTTAAGGATGAGTCAGAGATCGAATTTGAAAAACAGATAGTATTCATGTTCTCTAGAGCAGGGGTCTTCAACCTTGACAACTTTAAGACTTGTGGACTTCATCCCCCAGAGTTCCTCAGCTGAGGAACTCTGGGAGTTGAAGTCTACAAGTCTTAAAGTTGCTGAGGTTGGAGGCCCCTGCTCTAGAAGCAGGAAAAGCCTCTTGTTTTCAAGAGCCACCCTTACCGTGAAATGTTAGCTTAAGGCATATCTTAAAACAGGTAGGAGAACATCCATTCAGCCAGGAAGCTTCAATTTCGAGACAGAGATCTAACAGACATGCATTCATGTAGATTAAATGCCTCCTAAAATCAAGATTTCCTATTCCGCAATGTTGACTGTTGAAACGCTTTTAATTCTGTGTCACGTTTTTGCTTGATTGACAGATCAGTGATGCAGGGATTCAGTTAATAGCTTCAGGCTGCAATTTCCTACATTACTTGGATATTTCCGGTTGCAAAAATGTTACCGACAGAGCCCTAAAAAACCTGGCGAAAGGTTGCTTGCAGCTCCGAATACTTAAGATGTTGTACTGCATAGGCATTACCCGGTAAGAGATTGTCTGAGACAAATGTATAGATTCCCAAAACCAAAGGTCTTTCAAACTTCGCAAGTTTAAGACTTGTGGACATCAACTCCCAGAATTCCTGAGCTAACATGACTGGAGGAGGAATTCTGGGAGTTGAAGTCCACAAGTCTTAAATTTGCCAAGTTTGAAGACCTTCTGCCCTAAACAAACAAACAAAATTCTTTTAGATAGCATACAGATAGTCCTTGACTTACAGCCATTTGTTTAGTGGCTGGTCGAAGTTAAAAAAAAAAAGGCACTGAAAAAAGGAGCTTATGATTGTTTTTCGCATTAGAGACCATTTGCAACTTCCCCAGGGTCACCTGATCAAAATTCAAACAGTTGGCAACTGGCATGTACTTATGATAGTTGCAGCGTCCGGCGGCCATGTGATCCCATTTTGCGACCTTGCAACAAACAGGTCGATGGGGAACCCAGGTTCACTTTGTAACTGTTGTCACTGACTTCACAACTGCAATGATTCACGGAACAACTGTGGCAAGAGAGGCTGGAAAACGAGGCAAAGTTAACTCAACAACTGTCTCGCTTTAGCAACAGAAACGATGGGCTCAATTATGATCATAAGTCGAGGACTACCTGTAATTAACGAGCCAGCAAGATCCATATTCTGGAGCAGGGGGGTCAAACTCAAGGCCCGTGGGCTGCATCCAGCCCGCAGGGTGCTTAAATTTGGCCTGTGGGGCCAGCCTGGTGTTCTAACCCAACCGGGTTCCCAGAGAGCAAACACAGACAAAGGCAGTAGCCCCCACCTTTCAAGGTTTAATCACGAATGCTGTTCCTTTACAGATAAAAGACTGCTTTCCAACAATTATCTCCAACAAGAAAGAGCCTTGCCAAGTTGTTGTCAAGGCTGCCAAAAACCCAGAGATAAGAACTAATTTACAAGATTCAAACTAAGTTGTCCACCAGTTGAGCTTCAGAGCTTCTTTGCTTTCTGCAAAGAATGCTTTTCCAAACCTGGCTTTTCTCCTCTTGAGGGAGGGGCCATTACCTTGCAGCCTTACTCCCAAGTCGCCTGTGCTTTGTTCTTTCCTCCAAGTAATCCTTCATGCACGTGCACTTGGCACAGGCTCCTCGGGAACCTCCTCGTCGCTGCTGCCAGCCCCCACAATCTCTGAAGGCAGCAGTCCACTCCCTGATGGTCCTGGCCCCTCATCAGAGTCCTCACTCTCCTCAGCCATCTGCACCTGCTGTCAGCTAATCACAACACCTGGAAATATCAAAGGAACGGCCCACGGTGCCTCTGTCGGCCAAAGCGAGGCCCTTGCATGGCCCAGTTTCGGCCTCCCCAGCCTCCAGCAGCACTCTGCCAGCCAAAAAAGGGCCGTGCAAAGGTCCCACGTGTCAACTCATAAGATATTTCTATGGTCTTTTTAAAGTTGCCAACAGAAAGGGAGGGGGGAGCAGTGCAGCAGCTTGCAAACCGAAACTGCATTCCATAAATGTTTTCAAGGTGACCGAAGTTTCTGCTGCACAAAATTCTAACTGGAGAGTATGGTTGATGACTCTTGGCTATGGATGTGTCCCATTGGAGAATATGAATTATGATACATCCAGTGTAATGATCTGAGGTGTGGCACAAAAGTAACAAAGTCACCAAAGTAGATAAATTCTCTTTAATGGCTCCAACTTGGCCCCAATTATCCTCGGCTGGAGATCAAACTCTTCCAAAAACAGTCTACAAAGGGAAGAAATGCAGTGTGAACCCAAAATACAGATAAAGTAGAAATAGAAAAACAACACAAACCACGCTGAAGTAATTAATACAACAGACCAGGACAATAACTTGCAGACTTCCAAAAGATAACGAAGCACACACAGTTGGGAGGATGCCAAAACCGAGATAAGCCTCGATAAAGATAATACACACTTTGCTTCCAGCAACCTTGCCATGCACAATTTGCCCTTTTAAACAGTCTTCCCAGCTGCAGCCCATGAAGGCGATCAGAGCCCTTTCCTCCCGTGTAAACCATGTTGCTCCATTATCCATTCCTCCCTGCGTGCCGTAGGATGAAGAAGGGGTGGGCCTAGGTCTTCCTCTGAATGCCGAGCCAGCCTGTGCCCTTCCCCACTTTCCTCCACAGCCACCGGAGCCACACACCCACTCCCTGTCAGCTGTTTCATCTCCCCCTTGGAATCAGATTCCAATTGGGGCATGACACCCCTAGGGGAAAACCAGGGTCAAGGGTGAAATGAATGATGTGTCTCAGAGTCGGCTACACCCAGGCAGCACCGGCATGTTTACTCCTAATAAATCATCTTTAAGTTTTGGAAGTTTGGCTAGAGACTCATGATTTAAATGGGGGTAATTGCCGGAGCCCTGACACCGCGAGACCCCGTGCAGCCCATTTCAGCCTCCTCACCCTCCATCAGCACTCTGCAGGTCAAAAATGGGCCGCGCGGAGGCCCATGCCCCATTTTATACAGCAGGGCTGCAGGAGGCACCCATCCTGTCTCCCCCTGCTCCCCCCCGGCCCGCCGAGAACTGCTGATCCGGCCCACAAAGAAATCCAGTTTGACACCCCTATTTTAGAGTCCTGAAGTGCCTATGGTGAAATCACTAATCACGCCATCCCACGCATTTTTATTTCTAGACCGGCTGTTTCAAGTTACGCGCCAAGGCTCCAGAAATACGAATATAATGATGATGAGCCGCCTTTATGGTTTGGTACCGAGGTCAGTGGTGACGAACTGATCATGGCGAAGAAACTGAAAAAACGTCGGTATAGCACTATGGCCATAGCGCGACCGAGCATCCTAGGGTCTTTGGGAGAAAAAGACTTAGAACAAACCAAACTTCCTCTGATTGAAACTATAACAGAGCAAGCCGTGGAAGAAAGTTTGATCTCGCCAGGAAGTCTGGCAGAAGATCCCTAAAACGGTGTCCGATGTTTGAAACTCCCTGAAAGCCGACAATCCTTTTTGTTAGTGTGGAAAAATGTACTTTAAAAAAAAAAGCTTTTCATTTATTGATAGCAAACCATGTTCCTTTTTTGTTGTTGTTCTTAAAAATACTGTGAAGGAAAAGTTGTGGCTTTGTTTTTCTTTGTCTTTGGAGAAAATGTGGCCATTCAGTTGTTGAAAGATATCTGTGTTAGTCTGCAGCCTTAGCTGAAGCATGAGAACTTCGTTGTTTTTATTGATGGGGTGGGGTGGAAGAATTGTAATATTTTATTGTGGTCAGAATTTCTTGCCTATATCCAAAGAGTTAAGCCCGAAGGTATCAAAATAATTGACATGACATATATATTCATTCTGAGATTCATAAAATCAGAGGGTTGGAAGGGACCTTGGAGGTCTTACAGTCCAACCCCCTGCCCAAGGCAGGACAACCTATTACTTATTACATCCTGGACAAATCTTTTCTTGAAGACCTCCAGTGATGGAGCACCCATAACCATGCTCCTTATCTTTTCTTGAAGACCTCCAGTGATGGAGCACCCATAACCATGCTCCTTCTCTTTCCTTGAAGACCTCCAGTGATGGAGCACCCATAACGATGCTCCTTATCTTTCCTTGAAGACCTCCAGTGATGGAGCACCCATAACCATGCTCCACATCTTTCCTTGAAGACCTCCAGTGATGGAGCACCCATAACGATGCTCCTTATCTTTTCTTGAAGACCTCCAGTGATGGAGCACCCATAACGATGCTCCTTATCTTCCTTGAAGACCTCCAGTGCTGGAGCACCCATAACCGTGCTCCACATCTTTCCTTGAAGACCTCCAGTGATGGAGCACCCATAACAGTGCTTATGTTTTCTTGAAGACCTATACATATGGATGATGGCTTGATGTTTTTATGTTCTGTTTGTTTATGTTTGTTTTTAAAAACCAATAAAAACTTTTAAAAGAAATGTTCCTGTCCCTTCCTAATTCAATTATCTCATTTATTTTATTTCATTTATTTTATTAACAAACATTTCACTATTCACAGTAACTATTTTATCCCTTATTTTAATCATACATTGTTTCCAATTTTCTAAAATTATTTCTATTAATAATATAACAATACAATCTTATGTACCTTTTTCAGTTAAATTTTCACCCATTATCTCTAAATAGGCCCTGTTTCTCTATATCTTGTTTCTGTCCTTTGTAACTTCTTTTCCTTTCCTTCTTCCCTCTCTTCTTCTCTCTCCTCTTTTTACCCCCTTGTCTCTCTACCTCTATTTCTCTCTTCTGTATTCCCCTCTTCTGTTGCTTTCCAATATTATACTTATTTTTTGAACTATTTTTCTTTTCTTTGGTTGTTTTTTTAAATCTTAAATTCTCCATTCTCTTTTCCCCCTTTCCTTTTTCTTCCCCACATAGAATTACTTGTTCATTAAAGATGGCTTCTTCTTTGTCCCAGTCTTCTTGTTTTGCAGATGTTTCTTGTTGTTTCTCATAGTTCCAAATCTCCATTTCTAAGAATTGAAAAACGAAGCCAAAAGAACCTCTCCCTTCTTGTGCATCTTCTTTGTATTTTTTAAGTTCCATTTTCAATTCATCCAGAAGTAGTGCCATTGTATAAATTTTTAACAACCACCCAATTGATTTTAGTCATTCAAGTGCAATAACCAAGAATCCAAAGATCACCAAGTAATCCAAATACACACAAGCTGTTTCTTCTTGCTTTTTTTTCACTTTCTCTTCCTGGGGTTCTACTATTTAGTTGCCAAGTTTCAGTTAAAATGTATCTTTTAGAAGTCTTGTTGAAGTTTTACTGTAGATTCCTTTTAATTCCAGGCAGTCTCCTCCCTTTTTTCCAGATCCTACCCTTTTATTCTTTTTCTCTCCTTTCCTGCTTATAAAATTTTTTTAGTGTCCAGAAATCTTTATTATCCCTTTAACATTTTATTTTATTTTCAGCTTAATTGCCTGTTGATGTCAAAGCGGATTTTTTTTTCTGATTTCTTATTGAGTCTCTTAGTTGTCAGTATAGGGAAAGGGAGAGAAGAAGAAAAAACCAAACCTTTCCCTTTTCACTTTCCTTCGCTGCTTCAGAATCTTCTTTGGGAATGATGTTATTTTTTTTAAGCTTAAATTCCAGGGTACCTTAGTTGTTGCTTTTGCAATTTAACCCAGTCAGCCAGAACTTTCACTTCTTATCTTCCTCCTGCACATTCTTTTCCGGTCGAGTTCTTCTTTCAGGTGGCCATTTCTGACCACCGCTGCAACCGCCTTTGGGAAAGGGAGTAATGGCCAGCTGAGAAGGAGAGATGCGGCTCTCCTCAACCCTGCTGGCAGTCTCCCCACTCTTCACCACCTCTACGGGGTGGCTTAGCCCCGAAACCAGCTGGCTCGGGGCGCTCCAGCAGCGAGCCCAGACCGAAATCGCGCACGATCGCGGATTTCTGTCTGTCGCCGAAGAAGCTCAAACCGGAAGTCCGCTCCTTATCTTTTCTTGAAGACCTCCAGTGATGGAGCACCCATAACGATGCTCCTTATCTTTCCTTGAAGACCTCCAGTGATGGAGCACCAATAACTGTGCTCCACATCTTTCCTTGAAGACATCCAGTGATGGAGCACCCATAACCGTGCTCCACATCTTTCCTTGAAGACCTCCAGTGATGGAGCACCCATAA